TTTAACAGAGCCACAAGACCTTCCCGAGTTATAAGATGGTTATCGGCTAAACCCAACTCTTATTTTTTTTCTCATTATAATAGTTTCAGTTTCAATTAGCAATATTTAGTTAATAGCTCTTAATCCTAGCATGATTTTCATATTGGAAAAGAAGAAATGTTATTTGTTTCACTATACAACACATTCCTTTATATCAAGCTTTATTTTTTTATTTGAGATTTTTTTCCTTAAAAAGTACTCTGTATTATTAGTTTCTTTTGATAGTTCGGTCTTAATGAAATCCTTAAATTTCAGAACATTTAGAAAAACCTTTTCGTTGCAATAACCAAAATCATTAGCGTATTTCCATTGAATCTGTTGAATTGTTTTACAAGAAAACAGTTTTAAATTATCTTTAAAATCTTTGTCAATCTTAAGCTTATTTATTGGTGTGTTGAAAAAATGATCCCAACCATAATCAAGTGCTTTGTGAATTAAGCTAATTTGAAAAATTTTAACTAATCATTTTTTTGTAATTTTCATAGTTGTCATGTAGCCATTTTACAAGGGGGTCTATAAGATACTGTTTAATCAAATCCCTCTCATAGAACATTTCTAATGCCTTACTGTTAATTAAAAAATTATTGTCCCGGTAAATTTCAATAGCGAATAACTTCTTTTTTGTTCATTGTATTTGTGTAGGTTTTCCATTCAGACCAAAAGTCTTCATAACGTCCGTACCAAACTTTTAATTGTTCTAATTGCAACATAATCATCCGGTTTTGTTTCAAGGTAAATTTATTGAAGAAAAAAGTATTTTACACCTAGCCGCGTGGCTAGTTTTTTCAATGATGAATTTTCTCTAATTTCGTTTAAACCGCTGATTTTTCAGTAAAGGTTTAAATCGCCAGATTTATGAAAAAAATAAAAATGATGGTTGCTGAAGACCATAAACTTTTTAGAGAACTGCTCTTTAAAGAGATTCCATTATATTCTGATCGAGTTGAAATGATTGGCGCAGCCAAAAATGGAATCGAATTGCTACAATTGTTAACGGAGCATATACCAGATATAATACTTCTTGATATTTACATGCCTGAAATGGATGGCTGGAAAGTACTTAAAGTGCTTCAAACTGATTATCCAAATATTAAAACAATAATGTTAAGCAGTGAATTCGACACTCCTTACAGTTAAAAGAAGCGATTTTAAAAGGAGCCCGCGCTTACATTGACAAACTAGACGGATCAATGGATGAGATAGTAGAAGCGATTAATAGCGTTTCTGACGATGGATTTTATTTCAATGATCTGATTGCACAGGAAATAATAATTAAGCTGAGAAGTGGAAAGGACATTTCGTCATTAGAAGACGGTTCGTTTTCAGATAGAGAAGTAGAAATAATGAGG